CTTCCAAAATCCGTTTTTATATCGTTAATTATAGATCATCGCGACGTAAAGACGCTTACCTAATTATCGAAACGTCAAATCTTAACGAAGGATCGACTACAGCAGCAAAGGCTATAAGATGATGCATTAGATTTTCGTAAAAAAATGTTTGAGCATTCTATCATCATTAAATTACTCTGCATCAAAGGAAACGAGTTGAGATTCTAAAAGGAAATTAGATTTATTTAATTTATAATTATTAATTTACATATTATTTTTTTAATGTTACTAGGTACAAAAAAATAAGATGATTATATGATATGTATAATATTTAAAAATAATTTATGTGAGAGGGAATCAATTTAAAAATTAAATAACTAAACTATATCAGATACAGACGGATGCAGTGGCACTTAAAAATCATTAAAAATAATAAATTTTTTTCTCGTTACTATAAATTATTAAAAGGAATCATAATAAAAAATTATTAAAATTTTTCTCTTTGTTTAGCAATGTCATGTAGAAATAAATTGAAAGAACCTGATACCATTCTTTCTTGCCTTCCGCTCCCTGCTGAAACTATCGTGTTGCTAAACAAACGCCACGATTTCTTTCCATCTCTTTTTCAACAGCATTCTCTGCCGCAGGGGCATCCTGCGAGAAGCGTGTCATTACGGGAGCATAAAAGGAATCGTCGATAAGAAAGGTGTTGAAAACGAGATCGAGATACGCAAACTGTCTTAAACCGGCGTCCAAGGTGTTAAGCGGCTCACGGCAAGGTGCGCGCAACATATGAACACCGGATACTAAACGGTAGGCGTTCGCAACGCGAGATTTTCTTTATCGGCCATACATATACACAAATCATCGACTAGCTTTATGATTCTTGGCCGTGCCGTATGATTCTGCAAGGTCGAAGATGATTTCTAACAATGAGATGATAATGTAAAATTACATATATATTAGAATATTGATCAAAAATGAAAAATTAAAATTTTCAGCTGATGTTCGGAAGCCTGAATCGATTTCTTTAGGTCCTAGATCTCTTGATCTGCTTCAATTCAAGCTAAGATTCTCACGCAATACGCGCGTCGCCTAATTTTAACACAAGAACTCGTAGCCGCAGGCGATTTTTTGCGCGGACTACGAAGCGTGGAATTAACCGGTGCTTCCCCCTTTTCTAAAACCAACACGTAATTATCTCACCGGCGGTTGCGTTCGCCGATTCTTCTTGCCCTGGCCCTTTTTCCGCCGACAGGTTCGGCAAGCGACGATACCCGATATTTACATGGCAGGTGATATCAATTATCGCCCGTGAGCCGTCGATGCCCTGGAGCGGAGATTGCAGCCGAATCCGAATCTTGAATGGTTCCTCGCCAATTTGCCTGATTCGCGCCTTGGTAATTTTTTTTCATATCTCTCTAGTGTAGTTTGAGCGATGTATCATAACAAGCGGTTTGAACGACCTAAGATTCGCAAAGTTTTTACCTGGCAAAGTAAACGACGAAAGAGAAAGCTTGCATGATTTTTGAAAATTTCTAATGACGAGTAATTCTTGGCAATGTAATCAAATGTATTTGCAGACTAATAAAGACATTGTAGGAACATAGCTACAAACTAAAATTATTATGCAATATATATGTATTTATTTGTGCATTTTTAGATGCATTATAGATTAAACTGTTCAGAAATTATTTTAATAGCAACATCGATCAAGGCTTTTTTCTCTCCTTGGAATGCAACAAGTATAATATCATACTCTCCTGTACACGAAAAAAATCGCGACTCCCACGCGAATGCGCCAATGCGAGGACAGAGCGAGGACGGTCGATTTGTCTTGTTTTCTTCGAGACTGAGGCGTAACGTTCCGTTGCAGCTGAAGCAAACGGTGACTCGATAAGTACCGTGATGGTCCCCTGGGGCAAAAACAAATAATAACTCGGCCAGGAGAGGCCCTCGGTTGCCTACAACGTCCGACTGAGGGACCCGTCTCTCTCTCTCGCCTTATTTGCAGGCGACTATCGCAATTTTGAAAATGATTGTCTCATCACGAAGAGAGGGAGAGCCCGGGTCTGGGACGTCGTCGATTACAGGGCGCGCCGCACGCTCCTCCGTACTTCGGTGTTGGTTTTCGAGCCTTTTGTGTTAAAAAGACACGCGTAATCATCCTCCCCCTGCATTCCCCCCCTTCGAGCCGATGCTCTTGCGAACACGTAGAATCGGGAAGAAAGAGACGAGGGAGAGATATCGGGAGAACGTCTACGGTCTGTCCCCCTTTCGCTCGCCCCGTGCCGCTTCCGATCGCCCCTAGGGCCCCCAGCTCGGCAACGAGCCGACCAGCCGACTTTTTGCCGCGTCCGGAACTTAGCATAGGGAATCATCGTGCGTATACCTTCGACAACAGGTGTCGGGATAGCCGGCTTTCGAGCGCGCGCGAAATTGCAGACTCGCGCAATCTCGACTCGCGCCGCAGCCGACCGGTCGCGTGACTTTGCATGAGCCTCGATTACGCGCTCGTGTTTGCTGCCGCCCTCATTGCGGCTTGTGCAGCAGAGGCGCAATTCATCCACGATATGACAGCTTTATTTAAGGGACGGCGGTACCGCGATTGAAAGGGCACACGAAGAAAATAATCGATTGTCAAACAAGAGGCGATCTTACAGAGATGATAAAAATCTATCAAAATTATATTAATGAAAAGCAATTACCACGCAATTTTTAAATGTATTATCGTATATTACGTCATATTTTATTAGAGCATAATATTTTTCATCATCACTCTAGATGCAATTCAAGTACCTGTGAAAAATATCGTCGAAACAGAATAATTTCGAGTCTTTAGATGAGAGAAAAATTTTTCGGCCACATTTTACGCAACAACGTCGGACGCTAAACGCGTGGTTTATTTTATGATTTATAAGATTTGTCATTGCGTGACCACGCGGTGCGGAAAGAGGGCCGTTATTAACGCAACGCACCGACAAAAGAATGCACGCACACGCGTGCACCTGTGCACCATCAGGCGGAAATTGCGGATGCTTCTTCGGCCCTCAAGTATGTTTTTAAAAGATGCGATCTGTTTTTGCGCCCCAAATCGGTTTGCAGAAACGTCCTCTGCGTACGGACACGTGTGCGCGTCCGCCGACGTGTGGACCAAAAATGGGCTCGTTTGGTCTACAGCAGAACGAAAGAGCAAGCGGGAGAGCCACAGGAAGAGATTCGATGAGACAAAAAGCTTGAAGCGCTCCAACTACAAATTCGTTTCTCAGCAAAGTGGCAGCTGTGCCAACGTGGCCATATCAGCTTTTGAATTACAATAATAAAGATGGTACCGGTGACGTATGTATTATTGATCGATTCACATTTACTACTTCTTATACATGTGTGTAAAATTTACTTTTTGTAACTTTGGATCACATATCGTCTTTAGCACTTGAAATGTATGTGTAAATTAATCAGTACAGACTTTTAGATTAACATTATTATAATCGTCTATGTTCCATAACTTTACAATTAAATGTAAAATGTCTATTTATATGTCATTTGTTTATCTTACAAATTATTTTCTCTACAATACAACATGACTGTTTGTTTATTTAGTGTACAGAAGACCTATAACGAATACTCATAAATATAATTTTTGCCTCGTGTGTGTTCCCCTTCATTAATATGCCGCGATAAAGTTTCGAGAAACGATGTTATGAAAGTGACAAATAAAATACACGACTGCGCAACTCACGATTATATCGTGACGAGAGACGAGGCAAAGAGAGGCAAACGATGTCCTTCCCTGTCCCATTTCACTTCGCATTTTCGCGCCTGCTTAATAAGATCGAAAAAAGAAACGAATGGAAGAGGAGCAGAGCGACGATCGGGCAGTCATTAAGATGAATCGCGGAGCTAATCGCTGTCACTGATGGAACTGTCTCGCGGAGTCAGCCGGCGAATGGCCCGGCTGACACGTCAACAAGTAAAACACTTTTTAAGCTGAAGAGTGTTCTGCCGGGAGTGCACTTAAGGACAGATGCAGTTTACACGTTGCTACTGCGTGCGCGGATGCGCTGATGGGAGACGAATGATGGAGGAATGGATTCCCGATAGAAATGGATTCATTAAAATTAAAATAATATATGAGATTATACGCGAATTCTACGTTAACATAGCGAAGTGCCACGAAAGCTACGAGATATAGTCTTCACCCCGACGGGCACTAATTACTAACTACGAGCTTCAAGATTACCTGCTTCCTAGTAACGAAGGTCTACCTTTCAAGGGCAAGGATCGTGTAATCTAGAAGAATCGTTCTCATAAACGTGGATTGACGGGTGATTGATGAAGGCTCACGGTGCCAAAGTACCGCCTACACGATTTTTATAATTAAAGACCGGGATACTAATAGTTATTTTACCAACTCTGTCTCACCAAAGGAGAACTTATCAACCCTTTGGAGATGGAGCAAACGGAGTATTGAATTAAATTAATTTGATATTTTAATTAAAAAAAACTTTAATTAATTCTCCAATGTGACTTTTGTCGGGACGATCAAAGGTAACTTTAAAATATTAAAAGATAAACGTTTCTCATTTATAGATAATATTTCTTTTTAAACGAATATAAAAAAATCGCATTTTTGTGGTTGATTTAAACAAGAGAAATTACGAAGAAAGATCGCGCATTAAAAAATGATTTCGCAAGAATCCGTAAAGTTGCTCCCGACGATGTTTCAGGTCAAACTTCTCGCGAGATCCAACAAGAACAGAGCATTAATAATTTTTATTGCGATTCTCGTATCATGGTTGCGTTATTAAATATTTGAAGTATACAAGTATGTTCGTTCGGTGAGCAAGAGAAAATATTTCTAAGGATATAATCTACACATCACATCAGATTGTACACATATTTGTTTACACACAAAAGAAACTAGAGAGTAATTACATATATTATGAAATTTTTAAATGTGATAAATTCGCGTAATTTGTAAAAACATTAATTACATATAATACAAATGTTAATTATATTAATCAAAAACAATATGCTCTTTTTTTTTAAAGGTAAAATATTTTCAAGTCTATAATAAGTCTAACAATTAACAAATAAGAATAATTATTAAAATTGTATATTATTCTGAAATTTTTACTGTATTGGTTCAGTTTTTTCTTTTACTGTAATTATTGAGGATTTTCTTTTATTTAAGCAGACGATTGGCTTTGGTATAGTACTTTTCACATGGGCGTATTTCGGATTTTTTGTTAGCTTCGGGATTAAACCTGGTGATGTCTTATTATATAATACTGATTCACTTAACTTTGACATTGAATGATCCACTTTTGTGGTTCCTAATTTTCTAGGAGTTATAATATTATTCGCCATTCCAGTACTTTTACGTCTATTAGTCAAATTATCTTCTTTTTCCGCTATGTGCAAATTAGGAGATAATATTGATCCAGAGAAAGTTGTCATCGATCTGCGAATTTTGGTAGGCTCTTTCTTAATTATCGTTGATGTACGATTAAGATTAAGAAGACTGTTTGAAAGTAATCGCTGTGATTGTTTGTCGAATGTTTGCTATAAAATGATTTAATTAATGTATAAATGAATAATATTTTATAATATATACACACATATATACATACATATAACGCGCGCGCGCATGTATATTGAAAAATTACCTTTTTTAAATCATCTATTTTTAACGTGATGTTTAAAGCAGACTCTCGTATTTCTGCCAATGATTTCAGGAAATTGTTATTTAATTGACTATGTAATGAAATTACATTATTATTATTCTCAAACACGTCATCTTGAATATCATTGTTTAATTTTTGGTCTTCTTTGCAAACAAAAGTATCAGATCTGCCAATAACGCAAATCGAAGGATTTGATCGTGAAATAAACTACGAATAAATGGCAAATAAAATTATCTTTCTAGCGAACTAGATAATTAAATTATCAGTTAATTTAAGGACTATGTATTGTAATTACTCTTTAAATAATAATGAATAATTAAGAAATTAATAATTCAAAATTGCATATTACCTTTTTTTCACTCTGCAATGTATTCAAAGAATTCTCCGTTTCTTTTTCGATAGCTTTTAATGAAGTATCAGAAAGAGAAGAATCCGTTACGGATTGAAATTCATCTTGAGATCTAAATATAATATTATTACAAAATGATTATGGAATGGATAATGATACGAAATGATTACAAAATAATATCTTTAAAATGATATAAAATGATATCGCATTACGCAAACTTTAAAACAACCTGCATGTATTCTCATTATCTTGACTGCCATTGATCTTGGAACTGATTAAATCTGTTGAAACGACTTCCTTATTCGATGTCACAATATTTGCCACAGAATCATCGTCATTCTCATTGTCATCATTCTTTATCCCAAGTGCGCGAAGCACATGATGTATAGTGTACGTTATTTGTTCATTGGTCAAGGGCACGATAACGGATTTTGATTTATTCTGAAACACGCATTTATAACGATCACGAATTATATTCTAAAATTTTATCACATGCACCACATTATATTTTCCTAGTAATATGCGTATGTCTAAAATCTAATTATATATACATTAATATTTTTATCGACTATATTTTATTTTCGTTCAAAATAATTATATATATTTATTATATATTTTTATTTAATAATAAAATACTTTACATTTAATGGCATATGCTTCATGTAACGCATAACTAATTGCGAGAATTCTTCAGCAAAACGTAACACACTCATTCTGGACGACAGTTCTAGATGACATGCACCAACGAAGGATTTCAAACGACTGATCGATCGAACGATTTCATAATGACCTCTATATATTTGATGTTTACAGTCAGCCACATAGTGCTGTACTAACAAGTTCTATTGCCCCTTTCAATATTTTCGACGTTGAATGTATTTTAAAAAGAAAACTGTGAACGATATAAAATTTTTTTAGCTATATTCATCAGTATATTTATTCATATCTTCCCTAAATTTTAACTAATTTTTTGTTATTTAATAAACAGACGGAGAAACTTTTCCAAGTTAGAGCAGAAATCTAATTTTTTTATTTATGTTACGATACATATTATAACATTAGCATAAAAGTACATAAAAATCTGCTTGAATTGACAGATCGGACTAGAATTTACAGCTCCATTCAGGTTATGGATTCGTCATTCCATGCGAATGTACAGTTGCGGAAATAATCATTTTCTCCATAAGATTGTCTGCTCCCACGAATCATCTTCGAAGAGTAGTTTCTAAAGTACGATGCGGCCACTCCTCCGCTCTGCCAATTATTCCCTGCCACACGTCGGGCACTGATGGAGCAGCCCGCGAGAGAAGAGGCGTAGGGACATGATAAATCTCCCTCGGGGGAAAAACTAGCCGCCCAAAAATATATGCACGCCGGAGATGGATGGGTGGAGTGCAAGGGCGGTGCCCGGTGCACGCAGGGAGAGTTTCGTCTCAGTTTGTTTCTCGAGACTCCTCTTCTTCTCGTACTATCTCGCTTCCTTTCCCTCTTATCCTCTCGCCCCCTTCTCTCCTTCCCGTCCCTCTCGCTTGTCGCCTTCTCTACGGCGCGCCGTGATGTCTTTTTGTAAATTTTTTGGCGATCGAACGATTAGGGGAAGGCGGCGCTCGTCAGTCAACTCGGTGGATGAATCTTCGGCGTATGCAGATACGCGCGTCGCCACGCGGGATCTTCGCTTTAAAAATAAAACTACGCGTGCGATAATTCGACGCCAGCTGCTCGCTCAACGCTATGCGCGCGTGCGACGTTCTCCAGCTGATCGCCGAAAAGTCGTGATCAATCGAAGTTGCCACAATTATCGAGGGAATTATTGAGATTATCGAAAAGCTTTTACAAAGTATATTAAATTCTCTTGAAAAGAAAATTAATAAAATAACAATCAAGCGCATCAAGTATAAATTCCGATTTAAAAGAAGCAAATTGCGCGTGATACTAATTAAATGAAAATATATACGCGAGCGCCAATGTATTATTTAAAAAATAAGCTTTTGAAGAAATATAATACAGATACATAATATACATGTTATGTGCGTCAGGATTGAAAATGCAGTTTGTAAAGTGGATGTTTGAATATAACCACGCTACGGCTCGGTCCTAGCAAAATATTCCTCTTTCTCCAGATTCTACCGTTGCCCCTGGTACACTAATTTCGACGTGTCCTTACAAATGAAAGGCTTCGCTGCGTCTGCATCGTACCGCGTAGCACCTTCCCAAATATTTATCATTTCCTTCCGACGCCGGATGTCCTTAAACGCCCGGGAGAATACGACACCCCGAAGGTGCAGCAATCTCTCCTTCGCTATTGCGGACCGCTAATGCATGTGCAGTCGTCGCACAGCGACGAGATATGCCGGCGGTCGTTTGAAGTCCGAACATGTTTGAACAGCGGTCATTGTCTTGTCTTCAGTTTCTTCGTTTTCTACTCCTCGTCAGTGCCGCTACTGCGGCTGTGAAGACAACTCGTTTCAGATAAGAAGAGAACTGAGAGCGTCTCGCAAAAAGCATTTTTATGACTTTAATGATAAAAGATTTCGAGTATTACACACACATATATGTATATAAATCGAATCACTTGATATGCAGATTTTTCGATAATAAATAATAATAAATTGATATTTTTAATGCTTTTTTATGACGATTTTACTAATTTATCTTATAATCAGAAGAAGGAAAAATTTGTACCTTATTATTTAACGAAGATAATGTAAAATATCATAACCATATAAAAAGAAACCAAAAATTATTGAAAATAGCTTAAATCGTAAAAGCACCACCGTAAAATCACTTAATTCGACCGAACTCAAAGTACGTCTTATTTAGTGACCTAATATTTGACTTTCGCCACATTGGACCACGAGTCCTCCATAGTTCGACTGCCGCCGTTTGTTTGCAGTCTGTCTTCGTTTCGGCTCGCGCCAGGTTGATTTAGGATTTAAGGATTTCCGCGTTTGTTATTCGAAGATCACGTGGATAAATATACTTGAGATGATTCCTCTATTTAGGTAACCGCGGGTGGGCTTGTTTCAGTTGCTCCGGTTACGTAGCTGCGAATTCGTACAGTTATGAATTCACCGAATAAAATCGAATAAATAAAATTTTTATTTGATACACAAAATGTAATTTTTATTCGACACATGTATATTTAAAAATAATATTGCAAACAATATTTGCATAGCAAAAAAGTTCGAGTTTAGATTATTTCAGAAACAAAAAGATACTAAATTATTTTTGTAATAAACCTGATGATATTATGTTTAAGAAAAAATAAAAATCTGTATTAAAATACAATTAAATTTCATAAAAACTAAATTTCAAATTAAAATCAATTCTGGTAGTTCGATAGGTAAACAAAAGATTCCGATCCTTTCAGGAAGATTTCGAGTCGAAGATACTTGGTCATGAGAAAAAAAGAGGACTCGCGGAAGTTCATCGAGAGAACCGGTGGTATCTTCTGTTTGGTTAGTCTTTAACTGACCATTACACCTGAATGGGCCGCCTCAAAATGGAAAAGGGCAGCTTAGTCCTTGATCCGACCGGCCTACTTCCTGTGAAACCCGAATGAGTAGATCCTAGGGACCAACGGTCAATGGTAATAATGACGAATGTTTTCTCCCGCGATTCTTCCGAGCCGTGCGCCGTTTCTGCGCTTCGAACTGGTCTTACCTGATCTCCTTTTAAGCGTATTCGTGTGACTCTCGGCAACACTCGAAGAATCAACAAGCGGAGCGAGAATCTTAGATCGCGTGCTTGCAAGAAATCGCGGTGTAGATTCTAACCGCGAAGCGCGATTGGCTTTTTGATCTTCCAGGAACAAACTTGCGTTCTACCTGTCTTACGAAGGATATTCCCGTCGCAGAAACCTGGCTATGTCGTATAATAAGCATTACATATGGCTGATGCATTAGGCCACCACGCGTTTATCTATTATTTTTACACGATATACCGAGGGTCTTTCTATTGAAAACTGCACAATGGGAATATCGCTGACCCGAAAAAAGGACGTAAAACAGGACACTTAAGCGCTTTTTGTGCACACAACCAGTCACGTTTCCGAACGAGAACTGCAATTTTGAAACGATGATGAGCATCCGTTATGGCGCGTAGATTGTCGCTATTATCGTTTTGTCGATATTATCGACCAAAGATGCAATGTATCGAGAGCAAGTGATCTTTCTAACCACAAACCACACTCCTTGAACCTGACCACCTACCTTGAACATATTAGTGTCCAACATCAGATGCAATTCTAAATGTGCAGAGGTAAAAAATAATGATCTAAAAATACTAACGTCAATTTTGCTAAATGAGCATATATATATATATATGTATCATATATATATATGTATCATATGAATAATCATCTGAAAAAATTAAAAAGTATACAAGAGATAAATAGTATACGTATATTCTTATATATATATCAGGATAACAATTAGAATAATGAGGGTTTTTTGCAGTTTTACATTCATTATATCAGACAAAATAATAATGCCAGATATTTAAATTTAAAGGGAACGATTCTCGCAAATGTATTCGCAGATACAAAAGACTGCTATATATTCGTCGTCGCGATCGATCTGTCTCAATTCTCATCCATCACTTTCGACAGCAAGCTGCAATCCGATGTATCGTCCCTGCTCTGCTTTCGTCGTCCAGGGAGTTTGTCGGGGAGTTTTAAAGGAGACAGTTCGTGACATAACATGTTCCGAAAAGGGCACGCATTCAGCGCGCGACGAAAACGCGAAGGCTGCATTCGGATAGAAGTAGCACCTTTACCGTCCTCGCATACGAATTCGTCCCTTTTTCCGCGAATACGTCGGCGAATACTGACCTGCTCCTCTTGTACAACACCGCCCGGGCATTGTCACCCCCTCTCCCTTTTCATTCATTCGAGGGTTGCTACCAAGGAATTGTGCTAACACGAAGAAACTCGCACTGGATGGTGGGGATGCGAGTCGTGTGGCCGCACGCGTGTTTACTTAGGATCATCTTCAATGGCCACCGGGATAATTCCGGATTCCCGTGCAAATCCCCGCAGCAAGCCTGATACGGATTAGAGACTCTATTCCAGAGGGAAACGTGCACGGAACAAGGAAGTCGTGGCTTTGAAATACAACGTTATTCGTTTTATTCTCTTTCGATCGCGCGAAAAATTTTTCAAGATCCGTTGTCTGTAAAGTGCAACAATATTCGCAAACGTGACGATACACATACGCACATCGAGCGGGTCGTTTGTCGTCACGCGTCACGATTTTCGTAATTAAGTGTAAGATTTGAGCTAATCGACTTCCGCCAATAAATCAGCTGTATCGAGCTGTACCGCATCGGTAACCCGATAACCGTACTGCCCTGCGTAGTTCCTGTTTGTTGTCGATCCCGTTGGCTCGGTGTCCCCTTACGGGTCTCCACTTGCCGTCCAGAAGTTCGCCAGTTAGTTATTCGTAGGAAACGAGTCTCACCACCATTGGAAAGTCCCGTAGTAGTTTCTCCCGTTTCGCTCGAAACCAAAGTGCGCCAACTGTCGCCAGGAGAGACACTGTCCAGATCACTGGCAGTGGTTAATTAAAAATGTTGGAGCAGTTCTTGCGGCTTGGTCCACCTGGTTTCCTGTCGCACTGCGATCGATAGATCGACGCCATACGACGGAAATGAACGCCATCGTTGTCAGTTACGAGATTCAGTCCGCGTTAAAAGATATTAACTTCGCAATAATGCTTATTCTCCGCAATTTGCATATCTCGACGATTTCTATCATGACATTGAGAGACAA